GGGGAATTCTGGGAGCTGAAGTCCACACATCTTCAAGTTGCCAAGGTTGAGAAACACTGTTCTAGAGTCTTGTTTTATATGAATATGTGTCCTTGTGTGTACGGGCACACATGTGTATTTATTTTCTGCTGTCGAGCCAATCTTGAACTGGCTTTCCACAGCAGGCCGGACATAAAAATGAAGGAAACAAGGCAAAGGCCATCTTCTTGCTTCTTATTAATACTGTTAATTAACACCATCCCCTCCAAAATCCTTCTTTGTTTTTTCTATGGTTCTTACTCAGTTGGATGAAAGAGAATTCGACCTATCTTGTCCTTCAAAGGAGATGAATGTTTCAAAGAAATACTTACAGACCATGTGTGGGTTCTTCACACTTATTAAATGACATAGTGGCCAAAGGTGGTCTGAGAAAGTATTTTTTCCACTATTACCTCCATAGATCATTATATAAATTTCTACTCTTCCCCTGTCTTGCACTGCTTATGGTCCTTCATGTCAGTCCTGACTCCTGGGGATTGCAGGGGCAGGTCCAGTCAGTTTCCTTGGCAAGATTTCAGAAGTGGTTTGTCCTTGCTTTCTTCTTAGGGCTGAGAGAGGGGGGCTGGCCCAGCGTCCCCCTGCTGGCTTTGTGCTTAAGGGAGATCTAAATGTCAGATTCCCAACTCCTAGTCCAGCATCTTAACCTCTACACCAGTGTTTCTCAACCTCGGGAGCCTTAAGACGTGTGGACTTCAACTATAAATATGTGGACTTCAACTTTAAGACTTCAATTTTAAGATGTGTGGACTTCAAAACACAAATTCTGGGAGTTGAAGTCCACACGTCTTAAAGTTCCTGAGGTTGAGAGACACTGCACTACCCCAAACTGGTTCTTATTATAATTTAGCAGCTGCTAATAATAATAAAAAATCAACCCGTTCTAATTTTTGCTGTGGCCTCGCCATCTAAATCTTTTAACAAGAACTAGCTTCTCTTAGAGCCATCCAAATGTGCTAGATATCATTCCCCACAATTCTGTTTTGCCAAGCTGGCAGAGAATTCTGTGGATGGTAGCCCCAGGCATCTGGAGGGCTGCCTTTAAAGACAAGGCTAGTCTGTGGTAGCCCAAACGTGGTGAGCGCACTGCCTGAGATACACTTGGCCCTCCTGATCCTGTATTTCAAGAAATAGCCAAAACTTTCTTTTTGAAATGGTCATTTGTGGGACTATCTTTCCCACCCAGATTTGGCTCTCCTTGTGCAATTATGGGGGGGATGGTATGCTGAGGGTCATTACCCTATGAGGAGGTGAGGGCATGACCACCGGCCTTCTCCAAAGTGGTCCTTCCCCCCTGAGATAAGGAATGCCCCCAGCCTTCAGGAGCGCTTTAAAATCTTCATTGTTCTGGGCACTGATGGAACAAGGACTGCCAGGAGAGAGAATTTGGGGTTAATGATTGTGTTTTGATGGTTTCATTCATTCGTAAACCACTTTGAGTCCCTTGTTGAAGTGGACAGCCTATAAATTATTATCTATACAATTAAATTTGATGAATTTAAGGTCTAGTTGAGGAGGAATGACTGTCCTATACTTACTACATAATAGTGTATTTGAAAGCGTATTTTTAGGTTGAGATTTGTCTGTATACTGCTTCGATTGGAGCATTATAGCAATTTTGTAATAAATGGATGAATTAATGGTTTGTGTAGAGTCAGTAGTTAAATTGAGTAGAAAAGTTGGCAGAGGTTTTTTTTTCAAGCCCCTCACTTCCTCTTGCAATTAAGTTTGCACCCCTTCCTAGTGGCAAAGCGTTCCGTGAAAAAAGGCATTTTTTAATGTCTTAAGTTTACTCAGTTTTGGTCACTGATCATAATTAACTGGTTGGTTTCTCTTGGTGTGATGTTGAGAAAGACAAGGTAGGAGAGGTTTGGTGCTGGGCTCAAGAACCATCCTCCTTTTGTTCCACAGCGGATGTCTCTGGCATAGACTGGATGGTGAGACACGGACGCAGCCTGGCCCTCTCAGTCGCTGTTAACACGGCTGCCAGCAGACTATGTGCCCCTAAGTATTCTAACAGTGTCCATGAGATGATCTTTAACAACACGATCGCTGACCGAGTAAGTACCTCCATCCATGATGGTTGTATATTGTTTTTTTGTAATAGCTTTGTACAGTCCTGGGTGCTTGGCCTCTCTAAAGTTCAAAGAGATTCCTGCCTGAAGTACACAATAGTCCTTAAGACTGGGCTAGTTCAAGATAGGATACGTAGGACATTTGCAGGGGAAGAACAGAGAAGATGAACTGTTCAGAAAGGGATTTGGGTTGCTTTCTCCCTGAAATGTTAGTTTCTTGACAGGATGTGTGATTTGGGCTCGTTTGAAGAATATTGAAGCAGCATGAGCTTGACCATCCCATTTAGGTACTTCACAGTCTTTCTAACACAACTCTTTATTTTCTTCTGGCCGAGGAGCAGTTTGCACCAATAAGTCTCTCTCAACCCAGAAAACTCACTGGCACAGCAGGGCAAGGAAGGAAGAGGTAGAATAGGAGCTACACAAGAGCTCCCCTGGGGAAGGTTAAACCCAGGGTAGAACACATGCATTGCTTGAAGAAAGCCTTGGGTTCAACGTTTTACATCTCCAGCTGAAAGCATCCAAGGGAGCAGAAATGGGGAAGACATTGGGGAGTGATGGAAAATAAGCAGCAGCAGAACTGGATTAGATGGAGGAACTGGAAGAAGGCAGCTTATGTTCTCAGGGGGAGTTGCAAACCGAATGGTCTTGAGTTGACGCTTTCCTTCCCCTCACCCTGTCTCAAAATGGGAGCTTTGTCCCATTGTACTTCGCAACCAAAGACAAGTGTAAGTGGCGGAAAGCGCTCTGAAACAGAGCTGAATTGGATTAGCAAGTATTCCCACGTGGGTGAAGGAATATTCATAGGTCAGTTACACCAGTAATTATTTCACATGCTCCGAAGCAGCATCTTCTTCACTGACAATTGTTGATGACTCGGCTAAAGAATATTGGGTCATTTGGCTTAATCAATAAAGAGATCAGTCTAAACAAGCCCCTGCTTTTTGAGCCCTGAGGTTGAGTTGCCCTGTGCAGGCCCCATGTAGTGCCTTCTCAGTTCTGCTGGAATCTGATGCCCTTTTTCTTACTGCTAATTTTCTGGCCGCAGATCCCCATCGCTATCAGCGGCATCCGAGGAATGGGCTTCCTTCTGAAATATCACATAGAAGCCAATGAAGGGAGCCTGCCCCCGAAGCTCTCCAACCTCTTCATCAAGGTAAGGCCTCTGAGCTCCTGGCCAGCCAAGTGGGTGCGGACCTGCTCTCTGAGGAGCCACCCAACAGGTCCGAGTGGAACGGGAGAGCCGCGCTTCAGCCGTTTCCTCCCTGATTGTCCTGAGATGCTGGAATGATGCATCTCCTTGGGAGGGAAGCAGCCAAGGATGAGCTGCTGTGCGGGGCCTGCACAGGCTCCAGAATTGCATCAAGGCCAGGAGAGACAGAGATGCGTGCCTGTGGTTGTACCTAATTTTGGCGTGCCAGCTGGTGGATTAATTTGAGACATCTGCAAATGCATTATCAAATGCAGTTGGGCTCCCTCCTACTTGGCAGGCTGTTATTTATATTCCCCCTTCTGTGTCCTCTGGTGTCTCTGTTCCCGCCTTGGATGGATAAGGAGGTGTCCCCCTTCTGCAATCTGAGCCTCCACAGCTACAAACTGCCGCTGTCCTTTAATGTCCTTTCTACAAACATTTCCCCCGAAGGACACGGTTCTCTTGGTGCAGGTAGAAGATTGAGGGATTCCTAGACCTCTTTCTAGAAACCTTTGCAGCCTGAGGAGGGGTCCTTGGAGCTGGGAATCTTAACTCCCACCCTCCAAACCATTTTTCTTCCTCAGCACAAGCATGTAGTCCAGTTCTTGGACAGGCTTGGCAACAGAGTTGAGCTCAAAAGCACCGGCTGTTTCTAAAACTAGTCTTTTTCCTGATCGACATGCTGCATTATCAGGCCTATGCAGTGATTCATAGTCTCATTTTGTAGAGCATGTTGGATATTTGGGTTACAGTGATATTGTAATATGGCAGCTTGTAGCGTCACTGACTGTCTCAGGTTTGGGGGCCTTGACATAATGTCGTCTTTTGGGAGTCAAAGCAATTCCACAAATCATAGCCGGCTCTTGAACAGCTTGAGCTAGACCAGCGTGTCCACAACTGCTTCAAGCAAAGGCTTTCTGATTTTTTCCCCTTGTTGTAGTGTCTTCAGAATCCATCCAGTGACATAAAATTAATTGCAGAGAAGATGATTTGGTGGGCCAACAAAGCCCCTCTTCCTCCCTTGGACCCTCCCGTCGCCAAGCCCATCCTCAAGGCGCTTCTGGACAATACGAAAGACAAGAACACCAGCGTGAGGGCTTACAGCGACCAGGCCATCGTTAACCTCCTGAAGATGCGAGACGGCGAGGAGATGGTTCAGGTATTGGCTTACCTTGGATGGGTGGAGGTGGTAGAGCCGAGCTTAAACATAAGAAGCTGAAAGCAGTGGGAAGCATGACTCTCTTGCCTTGGCTTACGAGTGTCACATCACAAAGCCAGAGCATGGGGTTGGGATGTATAACTAGACAGACCATCTCCTGGATCCAAAATGACGACGTCCCTTCCCTTAGTCGGTGGGGAGGCATTTTTTAGGCTAGGCTTGCAAATGGCTGACAGTGCCATTTTAAATCACGAGAATGGCCAGCGTGTCTTACCCACCTGAACTGGAACCTGAAAGTCGTGAGCAGTGGGACATCTTGCTTAGCTTTGGAAGCAAAAAGTCGGACTCAAAACCCTTCTATGAACGTTATTTCTCACAGTCCACCTCCAAGATCCTGGATGCTGCTAGTTTGGAGCTGCTGAATGAGAGCTGCCGGCGATCACTGAAGAAGCTCGCTAACCAAGCTGACTCGGTCGAACAAATTGACGACACCATCCTGACATGAGTCTGGAGAGGCAGGAGGAGAGTTGGCCCTTTGACCCTCACTGCATCAGCATTGCAGGTCAAAGCCAATGAAAATGTTTTCATTTTTGAAAATGCTAATTCTGACAGGAGCTGATTTAAAAAGAAGGGGGGGGGGAAATATTTTAATAAAGAAATATACCAGAATAGCCTTAATTATTCTGCTAGTTTAAAAAAAACAATTTGGCCTGCCCTTTTTTTTTTTTTGGAATACACTGTAAGCTATTGATTGGTAGTGAGTTAGTGGTGAATTCACACATCCCTCAGACTCTGTGTTGAAGGAGAAGTTTCCACTTGGGTTAAGTGGGAATTAAAATTTTGTCGAAAGCGGTTTGTTCTAATATACTGTTGGTTTGATGTAGCTCTGAAAGCTGGTCATTCTGCAGGTCAAACTATTTAAGGAGCCTCAGAAATTAAGAGGCACAAGGGGGATGAAAAACAGCTGTTTGAATGGCAATTTAATAAAAAGCTTTCAACTTAATTTCAGTGCTAGATCGTTATTGACGCACTTATCCTCACACGTATGAAGGCAAAACAACCTACTGGTTTGCTGGAGCTCACTGAGAAATGACCAACCTTTGGGAATTCAGGGATATAAGTCTAAACCACAATGGGCTTGATTCATAGTTAAGCCATCAACTAACATCAACACATGTTCACACAACATGGTTAACTCAATCAGCTGCTTCCCCAGGTCACTATGATCATCAGTGACTCAGGCAGATGGGCAGAAAGGAGACTTCATCACCTGGTGCGTTTTTCACAGAATGCTGGTGGAATCAATTTTCAACTGGAAAAAACAGTCTTTCAGAGACTATGCAATGCTTAAATAGGGATTTTAATCCATCAGAATTAAATACAGAACCACAAACAAACATAACAAGCAAAAATTGGAACCGATGAATCCTAAAGCCGACTTGTTCAGTGGGGGGTGCTGATCACCACAAGGGAAGGGATCTGCTGTCTCCACAGACCTGAACAGGGCCAGTTATCTACGTAACATTCCCCTCTCCCCTTAGATAAACACTAAATTCAATGCAACATAAAACCAAACGTTGAAAAAGCAAAAATAATATTGTAAAGTTAAAATGGCTTTGGCTGTTCAATTCTCTTGTTGCTTTTGAACCTGCAACCAAAATGGCTGCACTGTGGTTCTAAACAAACTTCTGAGAATGAGCATTTTCGGGCCTTCCAGCTGGGTCCTTTGGCATTCACCGGGATATGAGGATAGGATCTCTTGGTGAACCTCACTGACCACTTCTTTCACAAAGTGGATCCCCCATTGAGACCTTTGGACGGGAGCCTCACGGTGACTTAGCACAGGGGAGGGGCACTGTGTGCTCGTTTTGGGAATGGCACCCGAGACTGCAGCCATTGCTTGTAGTCATCTTCAGGCATCTCCACAATGTATTCGCGCAGGAACTGTGACAAAAAATGCAAGGACACAAAGGTTTGATCATCAGGTCTACTTCGGAGGAAATCTTTGTCCCGCTGTTGTTATCCCAATGATCTTTTGGAGAGCTGGGCTATAAAACTCCCATCTTATGACAACCAGGATAAGGATAATGGTTCTATATCGTTCTGTTTGGGCTGTCATGGCAGCAGCCGGATCACAACCCAGTCCTTTGCCCTGTCCTCCCGCCGTCCGTCTAGCTAAGTAGACTTCACAGGTTGATGGCAGTGCATGAGTTGATGAAGCACCTTTAAACATCTGAACTGCCCTCCAAGAAGCGTCACTGAAAGAGGGGGGCTTCCAAGTTATTTGTTTTCGTTTTTCCACACAAAATTTAGCTGTCCATGGCCGCTTCTGTCTACCATAGGGCGTGGAGAGGGAGAAGGGCTTCTGAAAACTCTGCTGTGGTTCTACAACTTCCAGCAAGCAACCAAATGGGAAAGGAGTGGAATTGGAGATTGAGGAAAGAGAGACAGGAAATAACCATTGGTTGCAAGTCTCTGGCCCTTTTCTTGGGTAGTGACTGAGAGGTGGAGTTTCTGCTGAGCCAGAATAGAGAACTTTCCTCTACGAATAACCAAGGCCTTAGATCAGTGTTTTGGATAGATCT